GCTCCAACGTTGATTCAACTTTAAAAGTTTACTCGGAGAGCATATTTTGCAAAATAAAAGTATGCCGTAAATGCAGATATACTAGGGCTCACATTCCAGTAAAATCAACGCTAAGCATATTACATTGCAAATGAGGTTGTGTTGGCTAATCCCTTTCAAAATAGTTTTTGCAAAACATTGTGGAACATTGGAATGACGATCACACACACGCGAAGCGAACACAGGCGCAATGAACCACGAACGATTTTATCAAGACCCATAAAAACAAACTAATTGACAACATTGTTGAGATTTAGTTTCGATCTGTCTACACTCCGCGATTCCAACTGCAGGCTTGCCAAACCCTACAAGTTGCTTATCATTAATTTCTCGGCTGTAGAGATTTAATTTTATTACAATCAATATCGCCCTTGAGGCCCTAGACATTGTTCCCATTCTTGCAAGTACAAAGTCACCGTGAGGCGTGCTGAGCTACCGTAGGGTAACTGTGGGTATACTGGACTTGCCATCCAGAAGTCCGCCAGTTCGATTCTATTTCCTGGAGCGGCAGTTGAAACGGTGAGATATGTTTTTTTATTTGATAGTTGATTTTCATATTTTTGGCTCGTTCGGTAAAGTCACGTAGAAAGGAAATAATAAAATAATAATAATAAAACAATTCAATTCTCACGACGTTTCGATTGCTTGTGATGCAATCGAGACGTCGTGAGAATTTTATTGTTTTATTTTTCTTATTTTATTACTTCCCTTCGACGTGACTTTACCGAAAGAACCAAGAATATGAATCCCTGCAGTCACGAAAGCTTCAAATCTAAAGTTAGTTGTTTGGCATGTCGCGTGTGGTTGAGGTACGTTGTGTGCATGCCAGCGTGGAAAGAATCGGGCAAATTTCGAGCTCTCTTTGATTGGAGGTGCTTTCGCCAGAAATGGCAACGGCAGGTAATTTTAAAGGCTGCACCTTTCGCTTGTATTTACCCACGCACAGTATTATTTCATTTTAAGCCTAACACCATGCGGTGTATACGTTCGCACATGCCAATCAGTGCACATTCATTGCTCAACTTACACTGGATTCTCTGGCGCTTGATTGAATGATACCGTCAGTTCCGGAGTCAACATTTAAACTCTCGGACTGTTGCCATTCAGCTGAAAGGTTTTCGTACATTCACGTGGCATAGGATTACTTTGACTTACGGAAAGCATGCATGATATTTTGGCATCGATTTGTGTTTTTATAATCAAATTACCTCTTCTGAGTGGTTTAATCCAATAATTTTACGTGCTGTGCCTTCGTCGTGAGATTTGTTTCCCCTCTGGCTATGGAAGACGTATCAATTTTCCTAAAAAAAAAACTAAAATCACTTTTGAGTTGTTTAATGAACATTTTTAAAACACCCCTCCTCGTGGTATGAAATGAAAAGCCATCAATAATACAACTTAAAGATTTACTCCGAAAATAAACTAAATAAGGTTAAATGAATTTCTACAAATTAATCATATGGACATCATTTATGAAACCCTGTAGACAATACCGTACAATGCAGTATTGAAATGTGAATTCGACAGAACTCATTTAACTTGTAAATGAAAGTCCTGGGAAAAAGACTCCATGTTATACATAGCAATTAAAATAATGAAATTCATTGCACTATTCCTACTCAAGAAATTACATTCATTCCAAACGTCTGCGATCATGGATAGGCTAATGCTACAAGCCGAAAAGTAACAACTTGTTGTCGGCTTTGCTTTAACAAATTAATGTGAAAAAGGCCACATGTAAGATAAAAATAGCAATGGTCAGCAGTTTGCCTTAATTACTATAACTTTTGCTCTGAACATGGTTAGAATTTATTAAAACAAATGATATAGCGTACAGTATTGTTGTCACCAGCACTGTATCGAAATATACTGCATCGAAAGTCAATAAACAGAATGAAGTCAACGATGCAATGCCAAATCATGAGTGGCAGTTGCATCACTTTGGTTAAAGTTGTGAGCAGAGGCGGTGTTGAATATCAAGCAAAATACAATTTATCATGGAATTTGTAAAGCACCAACTTCCATAACACCCTCATCCTATAATTCCAGACGTCTATACAATCAGATTCCCACCCTAACACTCGTCACGCCTCACCTCACCTCCACTATCCCCATCTCCTGCCAAAATTACCCCCCACATTGTTTTGACATCAGCCACCCTAAACTCTCATCCCACTACTCACCATTCCTGCCCCTCCTCAAAACCCATAACGGAGGAATCAAATCTGGCTGTCGCCTGATGAAGCTAGAAGGGAGGGAATGACCGTAGCCGAGAAGACCTGAAGCTTCGTGCGGAATGATAGACCAGGTAGCTTCCACACAGCATTACACAACCGATGAAAAAATAATGCCACTCGACTGATTCGGAGTGAGACCTCTGCTGTTAAACCAAAGCCGGTCATGAGAACACTGCCCAGGTATGGGAAACTCTACACTCTCTCCACTACTGCCCCATCACCGATTGGGAGTTGTGGGGGTGGAATGCCCGGTGGTACAAAATACCCAGGCAGGTGCTTAGTTTTGCTGGGGCTGATGGTAAGGCCCCACCTCTTAGTGGCACACTCCAGTGTCAGCAGCAGCACCTCCAACTCCTCCTTTGAGTGAGCCGCAATTACCAGGTCATCGGCATACATAACGTGGTTGACCAATGGGGAGCCATCCCTTGACTGCACCCGGGTATCCATCGATCAGCCTCCCATTGTATCTGTACCATATGGAAATTCCCCCAGTACAGCAATTGAAGGCTTCACGAACTACGTGGTCAAAATAGATGTTAAATAATGTTGGAGCCAGAGGACATCCCTGTCGCACCCCAAGGTGAACAGGGAATGGCTCCGACTCCCGGACACGTAGTTTTACCCGGGCCTGCTCACCATCGTGAGCAGCGGGTCAGGGACTCCGAAAGCACGATGAATAACCCAGAGCCCAGGCCTACTGATGGTATCATAGGCATTGACCAGGTCAAGAAAGCAGAGATGTAAGTCTTGTTGGAATTCCCTACACCTCTGCTTTAGCAGACGGACAGAAAATATGGCATCTGTGCAGGACCGCCCATTCCTGAAACCACATTGGGGCTCCGCAAGCCTCTCCTCAGCGTGCCTAGCAAGGTGATGTTGAACAATCCTTGCCAGGACCTTTCCCGGCACACAGACACACACACAGACACAGCCAATCCTCATCTTAGTCCATTGATTACACAACCCATCGGAAGGGAGACCTCTGTTATTTTATTCACATTCTGTACGACGCGAATGGCGAGGTGTTAACTCGCTCGCCACGGTGTGCGAGGTGGTCGTGGGCTCGATGCCGACCCTGACTGCTGACACCTGCTGTATATGAGAATAGGTTTTCCCCTTTTTCCTGGAAACAAAACAGGTGTTATAATGTTAAAACACCAAACTGAAACCTTTTACAAGGAATCATGTCTGCATTAACCACAATACTTGTGGTCAGAATGCAAAAACATGTACTCTGATAATATATGCATTGTCTTTGAAACCGATTGGTCCACACCAGAGAGCCTCATCTCAATCGGTGTTTGACCAGAGGACGCCAAAAGGCGTACAGCCCAAAGACAATGCACTATCAGAGTAATGAGAGTTCGGGGTGAGCAGCTACATCATGGGACCTCCTTTGCCAGTGCCAAAATATAATAGGTTTTCCCCTTTTTTTCAGTTTGGTGTTTTAACATCTTAACAGCTGTTTTGTTGCCAGAAAAAAGGGGAAAACCTATTCTCATATTTTGGTACGGGCAAAGGAGTTCCCATGACCTGCTGTATATTTGGAGTTTGCGTCTCTCTATCTTTTTCCCCCTTGGTCGCGTGGATTTCAAATCTTGGGGGGTTTATCTCCGCCATTTAGAACACCACGCCTTTGAGAGTATTTGGGCCGCAAGACATGTCCGCGTGATGACAAGCCACATGTTGAGCTGGCATTTCTTGATGGCCAGATCACCTCCGAAAAAAATGATTGTTAACGGCTCGTTGGGGCCTTAAGTGGTAAAATAAAAGTGAATCGGTAATTGTTGGTGCGAATTTCTGCAGGTAAAAACTTCTCATCTACCAATGCTTTGCGTGGGTGGGGGGGTAATCACTCCTTGGGAGAGACGGTCTTCTACTACCTGTATGGGGGGCTGGGCTGAGAATGTATCTCCTAATGAGATGTTAAAATGGTAATTTAGCCCAGTAAATTCGCTGCCGTGTGATTTGGAACCATTGGGACAAACGTTGCCTCGGCGTTCTACGTCATCACTGGAAAGGCGAGGTTTCGGGACATTACCATTCCTGATAGCGCTTGACGAGAAGGGCCATCGCCCGAAACGTCGCTTTTCTTCTGTGGCGGCGTGCTGCTTCGGGGTCACGTGGCGGGGTTCACGTTGGGGGTGCAATTTGAACCCCAACGCCTCGCGAGGTCGCGCGCACGAGCTCTGCGGTGACGTCACCGCCGTCACCCACGAGTTTTAGAGCGTTTTATCCCGCGCATGACGTCACCCGCGAGAGTGTTTTTTTTTTCCCGCGCGTGGCGTCACCCGCGAGTGTTTTTATCCCGCGCATGACGTCACCCGCGAGTGTTTTTATCCCGCGCATGACGTCACCCGCGAGAGTGTTTTTTTTCCCGCGCGTGGCGTCACCCGCGAGTGTTTTTATCCCGCGCATGACGTCACCCGCGAGTGTTTTTATCCCGCGCATGACGTCACCCGCGAGAGTGTTTTTTTTCCCGCGCGTGACGTCACCCGCGAGTGTTTTTATCCCGCGCATGACGTCACCCGCGAGAGTGTTTTTTTTTCCGCGCATGACGTCACCCGCGAGAGTGTTTTTTATTCCGCGCGTGACGTCACCCGCGAGTGTTTTTATTCCCGCGCGTGACGTCACCCGCGCGTGTTTGTTATTCCGCGCGTGACGTCACCCGCGCGTGTTTGTTATTCCGCGCGTGACGTCACCGCGAAGTCGCGTTGTGTCGCGCGAGCTCCTTAGGCTTCTTCCGCGGCGATCCGCGTTTCGTCGAGGGCCGATGTCGACGATGCGGTGAATTTTAACGCGGACGTCCAAGAAACTTTCTCTCCTCTCTCGCTCTCTCGCCTTCGTACACTGCGGGGCCACCGAGGTCTCCGCGCTCCTTACGTCGAGCAATATCGACGGGCGCGGACTGTAATCATTCGCATGCCTCTTTACACTTTTGACGACGGCTAACACAAGTATCGTATCACAACATCCTCTGCTTCCCACGACGGCCTTCTGGGAGTGCGCGCAGATTCACCGCTATTCTTCTCTATTTTCCGCAACCACGCTCATGATGCCGTGTTTAATGTTGTTGTTTGTCATCATAACGGGTGTCCATGTACATGGTGTGGTAATACATGTGCTGTATCGTGCTGACGAATGCGTTGTTTAGTAGCGTGGCTACTTGGGGACTTCATAGTTGTACCTCGTAAACACTGCGATCGGGTACTTGATGTACAGGGTGGTCCAGATGTCTTGTAACCCCGAATTTAAGGACCCCTAACAATTATCCCCTTATGTTTAATGTCTGTTTTAAATAAACCCTGCTTAAAAAAATATATAGTATCTTTTTAGAAAGTTAGATGGGGGTCAATACATGTGGACGACGCTGTACAGTTGGTGTGCGTTGATTCAGGCTTTGTTGACCCGGTTTGAGCCCTCACTCAGATGCTAATTTTCATTGCCCTCTGTGCTGTTTCAAATGCCGCGCTTTGACGAATCTTTTCATTATCTTCTCAACTGGTGTCCCTCCCCCCCCCCCCCGCCCGTCAACGCGGAATATTCACATATCTTTGCATTTAAATTCTCCTCAGTGGCTAATTGAATGCTCTTTTATTGGTGAGGTTGTGGTTTTGCAGGGACGATTAACGCATGTAAAGACAGGCCGAGTACGAAGGGAGGTGGCTCGTGACACCAGAGCACAAAGTTACCTGAATACAGGTGGAGCAGAAAACGAAGGCCCAGGTGAGTGTGGCACGGTGTACCAATCTGCATTGCCCAATAGATGTGTACAGCTTGAGCCATTTCAGAGAGGAGAGAAAGCTAAAATGCCTACATTTGAGCACATTACCGCTGTACCGTGTTCACCCTCACGACGGAAGCGGGTCAAAGTTGTGACGTTGATTTAAATGTTTGTTTCTAAAGATATTCGTATAACACGAGGTTATTACAGAATGGACGTTTAATAAAATGTGTTTAAAGTGACATCAAAATGAAAAATGTGCGGCCTTCATCAGTTCTGCAGCTTTGTCAAACCTTCCGTTTACACACCTCAATTATGCAGAAAAATAAACGAGATCTTTTAAGATGTATTTTATATTGCAGTCCACAATATTAAGTGTCTATTTTTTTCCCAAAGGCAGTCTGTTCTAGCATAATGACATTGTTGTTATATGCGAGCAATTCGATTTATGTTGGTAGGGATCTCTAATAAAATCAAAATGGGAAATTATGCAAACAAGTAGATGGGGTAAACCTGCAAGTGACCTGCTGTTTGTGATTTACTAAACGAAATAGAAGCATTAACAAGTGTGTGGAGAGATTTGAGATTTTTAGTTTGACATACTGTTTCCTAAAGTGTAGAGTTTGTATGATGTGCATCGGAAATTGTAATTCAGTCTCATCAGCAGCAGCAGGTGATGAATGTCAATGGTAGATTTAAAAAGAAAAAGCATAAAAAATGAGTGTTTCTCTCCGTCAGATGTGAAGATGCCACAGGCTGTGGTGCTGCTTGGGACATTCTGCGACATCAGTGGAGAGCAGCGGTTGCTCTCACCACTCAAATCCCCGGCGCGTCAACCTACTGCACCGGAGACCACTCGGGGTCAACAACAGCCCAAGTATTCCTCTCCCCAGCTCTCCACGCTGCCCACTGCAAATTTCTGCCCTAAATTACTCGGTGCCAAATCTTCCAGCCCCAAGTTGCCAATTACTGATTCTCGTGGCCTCAAATCGGACGGCCCCCATGGTGGACAAGAAGCAGCAGGCAGGCCCAAGGAGACCACTCGTGGGTTGTCTGTGGTTCTGCACAGACTTCATTTAAATACAGGTAAGGAACTCATTATACGTTGCCCCTTTGCAGTCTGGAAATGTGCTTTGCAGTGCCGTACTGAAAGTGGAATAGTATTGGAATAACATTAATTTCACACTTTTCCTGTGAACTTAAAGTTATCTTAATACGGTGCAGCTAAATGCAATTGCTGCTCTAAAATTGCAGCATTGTTAACATTTTTATGACTGCATGCAACATAGCTGTGTTATGTTGGCAGGGCATGTTTTGATGTAATGTTCAACTAAAACATATCACACTCTTTGCCCTTGATTGTGAAAACTTGACAGCAACCACCTGAAAAAGCGTCCTGAGGCTCAGTGAGGCTTTCCTAATTAAACACGCGAATTCAATAATAAATAGTATGAAGTGTTTCTCGTAATTATATATGTTTACATATATTCAACTAATATATGTACATTATTTGGCCGTGCATTAACTTTAAAACAATTAAGTTACATTTAAATTAAATACAAAATATTGGTAACTTATTCTTTTGCTAATGGTACATTAGAAAAACCTGAATTTAAATATTAGTTCCTCACACAATGTGCTCACATATAACAGTTCCTTTTCATTGTTGAAGTGAATGCAGGTTACTGTTTGTACAAGGGCAGCTCAGGAGAAAAAAATCCATCCTCTGGAAACCTATGGCAGGGTTTGAATACAAACAAGGCCAGTTTGAAATCGGATGACCATAGTCTGCTGCGTGACTGGGAGAGCAAAGAAGATGACAAGGACTCTGAGTTCAACAGCCTCGTGACTTCTCTCCAGAATGCCAACCTTCGCTCGCTCATGAGCCACGAATCATTTAGGAAACTTCCGACCGCGTGCCAACAACGTCTTCTGTTGCTGCTGCCAGAGCCGGACCGTCAGGTGTGTACAATATTACAACTATTAACGAGTGTTACAAGACTCAAAACTGGCCACTTGCTTGAAAATACCTGATGTGGTATTTCCCATAGCTTGTGACGAATTTTTGGTTGCAAAATATCTCCAGTGGCTGACACGGACGGATATAGTTGGTCTGATCTTAGCATAATGTTGAGAGAGAGAATTCGAAAAATGTTATACATCTGAATTGCCCCCTTCATATTTGATACATTTTGAAGCCAGGATTTTCATTTAAAATCTATTGTCTCGGTGACATAATCAAAGTACACTGTCGTGTGCATGCATCTTGGCTAAATTAGGAAAATGCTAGGCGTCTCGTAATTATACTAGGTATGAAACAGTGATAACTTTAAAATACTTTACGGTGTGTAGAATTTATTAATTTACCTGGTGATGTTGATGGGGTATTTCATCAGATTGCAAGGTGCATTAATTCTGAATTTTAAATCTTAATATACGCTTCTATTCTTTTACACTGTATATTAATAGACAACTTAATATTTTCACGTCTAAATGTGAAATTGTTAGCAATAAAAAATGTGATATGAAATTCAGAGCAGTGTCAAGAGAACTGGTTACATTTTGTACCTTTTCTCTTTTAAATGTTTATTAGCAAAGCACATTTGTTTTTGTGGTCATTTTGTAAAAGATATATTCAGGGTATGTCCAATGCAGGAAGCTACATGGCAATGCCTTATAGCTGCAAGGGATTTCATAATTTCCCTTTATCCCAACATGTTTATGAAATCAAATGTTAGCCCCCTGAAATACAAAACTGTTGCAGTGGTAAGCACTGTTGTATGGTGTAAACCATAAAGCATGCCTTCCCTTAGTTTACACCAGCCCCCCACTGCAGCATTCATACTAACCAAGGAAGTAAGTCACGCAGCAGCACTCTCCAATGCAACACTGCAATCAATAATGCATACTGCTATGGCTGCAGGCTGTTGATTTCTGCACGCTTCGCACCACCGGTTTGTTTCACAGCTTGTACCTTTTTTTCTTGCTGCCTTCCCGACAGCTTGGGGACGATGGGAGTTTACAGCTCGGCAGTTCTGCTCTATGCAATGAGTTTTTCTCGTATGCGGCACTGGACTGGCAAGAACGTCTGGCAGAGGGTAAGGAAACGGTAATCTCAAGAACTTGAGACGACAACACCTCGCTTCACTATTCATGAGCGGTTGATTTATTCTCTCAAGAAATTCGGTTATCTTTTTGGTGTGACTCAACTGTGACTGTACACCCTAGAATACGATAGTTTTCAAATAACCGTAAGTTGTGCAGTAGAGTTGGCATTCTAGTTCTTTCGGTGAAGTCACGTAGGTATAAAATAAATTAAATAATAGAGTACGACGTTTCGATTGCAACACAAGCAACCGTCATCAGGTAGGACTAAATTTGAGAGAGAGACGAAACACAGACACGGAGACACAGACAGACACACAAGCAGAGAGAGACAACACAGACACACAGAGACAGACACACAACATAGACACACAGAAACCCAATGCCTCTGTGTCGAGGCCTTAAATAGAGAGAGGGGGTGGGTTGGGCAAATAGAGAGGTGGGTCTGCTGGAGCAGCTGCTGGAGCAGAGAAATTAGCATGTCAATGAATCCACCCCGAAGCGACCGAGGGAAAGAAGGTGGAATGGCCCTACATTTTGTTTTCTCAAACTTTTTCTCTCTAAAATTTTACCAGGCTATCATTCGTTCTTCTTTCCCTTGGTCGCTTCGGGGTGGATTCATTGACATGCTAATTTCTCTGCTCCAGCAGCTGCCCCAGCAGACCCACCTCGTTCTCTGCCTACCCCCGCCCTCTCTTTTAAGGCCTCGACACAGAGGCATTGGGTTTCTGTGTGTCTATGTTGTGTCTCTCTGTTTGTCTCTGTGTTGTGTCTCTCTGCTTGTGTGTCTGTCTGTGTGTCTCCATGTCTGTGTTTTGTGTCTCTCTCAAATTTAGCTCCACCTGATGACGGTTGCTTGTGTTGCAATCGAAACGTCGTTTTCTATTATTTAATTTATTTTCTTTCTACGTGACTTTACCGAAAGAACCAAAGAGTAATTCCTGCAGTCACGAAAGCTTCAAATCAAGTTTGGCATTCTAGCTTAGTGTATTTGTAGCGTATATTTGTCTTGTTTGGATAATATTTTCTAACTTGTTCTATCAGAGAGGGTATGTTGTTTACAAGGTATTTTGTATTTTTTCAGTCATTTCATTGATCTCATAATATGTATTTACATATAAATATCTATATCTCAGTCCAAGCTAACTCTGTGACTCCACAATGTATCGTTTATTTTACTGTAGTCTTGAATAAAAAAAAAATTTGAGCAGGTAAATTGTCTTATGAGAAAAAAAAATCTTTATTTGCAAGTTAAATATAATTCTAGATTTGAAGCTTTCGTGACAGCAAGGATTCATACTCTTAGTTCTTTCGGTAAAGTCACGTAGGTAAAAAAAATGAAATTAAAATGAAAAAAATGAAAAATATTTTATTTTTATTAATTTTTATTTCATTTTTTACCTACGTGACTTTACCGAAAGAACTAAGAGTATAAGTTAAATATAGGTTGCCAACAAAATACACAAAATTGCTCCCTCCCTGTTTGTTTTTTTTCCCATTCGGATAAAAGGGCCTTTTAAACTCATGTACTCTTTGGTTTTCTTTTAGTTGCATTATTAAAATATCCTTTTCGTGTTTCTTTGCCTTTGTAATTACTGCATTTGATTGTTACCTGTTCACAGGAGAAGAATCGAATGCGCAGCAGTGCATCAGGAATGGACTGGCGAAGAAGGCGCGCTTGTCTGTACATGAGGCACATGCTCAGGACTCGCTGCACAGAAAGTACGTTTATCTCACCGTTATGGAAAAGCTTGTACATCATTGATTGCGTGTAGTAGCGCTGGTGGTCAGTGTTGGGAAAAGGAGAGTAACCATGCTTGAATGCATCGATTCATAGATCGGACCTCGCTGTTAAACACAGGAATCGTAGAGTTGTAATTTCCGTTATACCTGAGCAGCTTTAATTGGAATAATTGAGAAACTTTTTAACAAACAAAACATGTTTTGTTTATATAAATATAATTATCGGTCGTGGATGTTGGTAGTTGCAGTGTATGCATTGTTGAGCAATGCTCGGTAACAATGTGTTGCAAAAATGTTGTAAATCTTAGAAAGTGGGACATGTTGGAGGAGCATCTATACATTTATAGATTCGTGCAACATAATTTTCACGGGTATTTCACAAGCAAAATTATGCATTTTAAATTGATATGATTATTTGTTGAAAAGGACAAAAAAAATACCTCCAGTTTTTTGTCTCGTGTCTGTTTTACAGCGTTGGAGAGTTTGTCGGTGGAGATGCACTATCTACCTCTCGGTGTAAATCAGGTACAAGAGGTGCTTTTTCAGTCGTTAGAGACGAAGTGAAGAAGGTCCTCAGCACCCAGCACAACCGTACAGTTTCTGGAAACTGCAAGGATTCAGTGATGAGCCTACCACCTTGCACTGTGAGGTTGGAAAATTGTCTGCCACTGAAAGTGGTGGGCAGTGGCAAGTGGCGAAAGGAAATACAGCCAATAAAGAATGGTTGCCTCCACAAAAGGTCCTCCAAAAATGTAAAAAGGAATGAGATGGCACGACTTGTGAAGAGCATGCATATAGACATGTCTCGCGCACGCACATCTCGCGCACGCACATCTCGCGCACGCACGTCTCGTGCCACAGCAGGTGGTCTCCACATTCCTTTGCAAGTTACTGACAAGTCTGAAGAACTTGAGGACTGGAGAGAAACACTTGGAGAGAGCTCTTGGTCAGGAATGTGGAAAAACTCAAAATCGCAACGCCCGTTGTCGAAAGAAAAAAGTCCGTTGACGAATAAAAAGGCGTTGAAGGCCGCTGCCAGAAGTTTGTGCGAGGAGGAAAGCTTCACCTTGCCAACGCCCTCTCGGCCAGCAAAGCGGGTGCTGCCTGTGAGGCATCGTGACAAGCGATTGAAGACTGATGCCTGCCTGTCTGTGAGCACCAATGAACCCAAGTCATCTGTTAACATCAGACCTGTCACTGTAAGTAAGCACGCTCCAGCTTTTCTGACTAGTGTATAATTAGATAAGGAGATGAGAAAAAAAGTGATCGATTCTGTATTCTGTAATTTTACCCTGAAGTTACATTTTGTGTTTAAAAGCCATTTTTAATATGGTTTGCTGTAGAATTGATGTTTTATATGTTAAAACTTCTCGGTCAATATTTCATAAGGTCTTTGTTATAATTTAGGTTTTGTGTTGTTTTACACAGTCAATATGAAAAAACACATTTCCAAAAACAAAACTTTCATACCGCACGATTGTAATATTGCTAAAAGCATACGCAAATATGTTCTCTGTTTCAGGTTACAATTGTTCGCCTCCCTGTTCAAGTATTTTCTGAAGCATCCACAATTTACAAAGTTAACAAGTTGTCAAATGCCCGAGAAGGTCAAAGTATTGTTCTCTGTGATGAATCGAATACTCGATCCAAAGCAAGTTGTGACTTGAAAATGCAGAAAAATGTCAGGAAGCAACGTAGAAAAAAGTTTACTACAAAATTCACACACAGAAAGCAACGGAGTGCAACCCGATCAGCAGTTTACGTAGATGCATTATTGCACAATGCATTTCCAAAAAAGGGAGGTGAAAATGGACGTATTGTAGCAAAGAAGCATCTGAATGAGAATCTAAACTTCCCCAAGATCACACGTGAGCTGTTGGTGTGCAAGGGAACCGCAGAAAAAGGTTTTGATGAAAGCCCAACGAAAGGCGGCATATCAGGCGATGTCGAAGAACAAAGAGTGAAAACGCACAGCGAGCCCATGACCCTGACCCCACTCTCGCAGAGTTCTGCCCTGACACCAAAGCAAGCCGCAAAGTCTGCTCTCCCGCTGCCTCACTCGAAGAGGAACTCCATCGATTGGATGTGTTTGTCTGCAACCTCGCGCAAGCGTCTGTACCCAAATTACCCCCTGCTGGGAGATGAACCGGAGCTCCCTCAGATCAGCCTCCTGCTCTTGCCTTCTGTCAGGCTCGCCCTTGTCAAGGTAAAAGTGGCAATGTAGTCATCGATTCTTCTTAAGAGTCATGTAATTTCATGTTACGATGCTTTTAAATACCTTAAAAGATATGGAATATTTGTTTCAATGGTCATATTGCTCGGTTGTTTTTCAATTTTCAGCCTCAATGTGCATCCACTGCACACACTGCGGATGTTCCAGTGTCTATGGAGTCTAAAAGAATGCACTTGGAGCCTGGGCATCTCGCGAACAGCGGACTGTCAGGCTTTGGCGTGGCTGCGCACACAGCGCCTTGGCGCTCTGAGAACATTCCCTTCCACTTGCCATCTACTCCGCTGCCGACGCCTCCCAATCGTTTACAACACGGCCACCGTGCCAGCTGTAAGAATGTTGAAGGGGACCAGATAGTGTTGCGGGAGATAGCCAATTCGCCATTGCCAGCGAGAAGCCATGCAGACGAGCCAATGCAATAGAGACGACGATTGCCTGCATGCCCGATGGAAGCCCACGCACCTGCAGATTCTGCCCTCCTGGCGCACCCTCACTCATGCCCCTTGCCTTTACATACATGCAAGAGTGTGCCGGCCGTGCAGTGTGCTAGCGGTGTGGCACTTCCGCAGGTAGTTCTTAGAGCGCCTGGCCACAAAGATCTTCTGGAATCTGCAGAGCCTCAGTTGGCTGGCAAGAAGTGTAGGAATTCAGATGTGTTTGTTGAGGTGCCTTCTCAGAAGAGGTTCAAGGAAGCAATGCTTTTGTAAAGGTCCTACATTGGTGTGATGTGAACCAAAATTAATTTGAGAAATGAGACAAGCCTCTTTAAGTTATATCTTAAATTTAAACATATTCCTTTGTTTTAAAAAAAGCAATTACCCCCCCCCCCCCCCATGTATTACAAAGTGTGTGATTGGTGCAATGTCAAGAGATGATGACTCAGTTCGTAAATCTCAGAGTGGTGTGCCCAGTGTCTGACAATATCCCATGGAAGTTACTTTTTTAAATCCTTTATATTAAGTTCGCATGCTTGCTTGCTTGCTTGCGTGCTTGCGTGCTTGCTTGCTTACGACCGTGCAAATCTTTCGGTCGTTTTTTAACCCACTTCCCGTGATCCAATCGAGCTGACATTTTCCACACATACTCGTTGTGCCAGACAATTAATGTTCGTGGAAAAAAATTCCCAAAATTTTACACTTTATAGGCAAAAAAAAAATATTTTACATATATTCAAAGAACTCATTCTTGGCTTTGGCTGAACGTCACAGTATAAGAGCCCAGAGCGTAACCCCTCCACAGGCCGTGGCGGAGTAGCGCAGTTGGTAGCGCCCTCGCTTCCCATGCCAAAGGTCGCGGGATCGATCCCCGCGTCCTCCACAGGCGAATATATTTTTAAATCCTTTATATTAAGTTCGCTGCCACGCATATATAGTGAAAAACTTTGTTTTTACGGGTTATACTTATCACAGGACTTCTGAAACATGCATCGAGTGGCCTTTTACACATTACACAGTAGGTGAGAACTTTACACAGTAGGGTGAGAAGTCTGCTATGAGATGCACATTACCATGAAACCGATATATTTTTGTATTTCTCAGCTGAAATTTAGCAAGATTTAATGTAGGCAATTTGTGTAGGCGTTGGTAACTGGATTGAAACCATCAACCCTCTCAACGGTTGCCAGCTCAGTATTTTATCTTCCAAGTCACCAGCCATCTGAGATGTCTTGGACAAGTAAAACAAAGCAAAGGAAGTCCCATGATGTCAAAAAAAATTATGAAAAAAGTAACATTTTGTTTAACACGAGTTTCTCTTTCAAGTGTTATTTAAAACCTGTTAATATAAAAGGATAAGTATCCTTCGATTTTATGAACATTGGGTTTACGAAAATTCACGTCAACGCAATTGGCAAATTATGTACACTTTTGATTCACGAAATCGAATTTCCACGTGAACGAACTTTCCCATGGCATCAAACAAGAGCCGCCCGGGCAGCTGTCATCCGTCTGCGACAGCGTCCACATCACCTGTGCAGGCGTTCCACCATGGATGTCTTTTGGCGATTTCCCCAAAAAGGTGAATTGTTGGTTTAAATTCATTTTGATTCAATCCTAAAATGTGTTCATTATTAGTTTTATATTGTAAAAAGTGATATAGGTGTATTTTTATACGTTAGGAGTAGAGTTGGAATGATTGTCCTTAACACGTCCCTAATTTTTTTGTATTAATGGGAAAGGATTTTCGATTAAGGAAATTGCGTTACACGTGTTCTTTTTCAAGAACACCGCGTCCCTTTTATAAACCGGGGAACACCTGTATTGGGACAAAAATCTTAACATGTAATTAAAAGTAACATTTTAAGTCTAATATTACATTAAGCTTAAGTAACATGCCTAATGTGTTCATGAGGGCATGATTAAGGAGACGGGAGTGAAACGTCCCACTTCTCTGGCGATGTTTTTGGCAGCTGAAACGCGACAGCTTCCCAAATTGCTATCCAGTCGACATATCTGACAGGATGCTTGCACAGCTGTCTATAAGTACAGTTAATGGCCAGTCAAATAATATTTGCTCATGAATTATGGTGCATGGATAAGTGACCACCATACGTCATGGGATTTGAACAAGTCCTCTGATTTGGAGACGAGAGATTGTTATAGGGCTGCAAGGCTTCGTGATGGACAGTAGAGGGCAGAGCAGCAAAATCAATTGTTTTATACTTGGATGCTCTCAGACGTGTAACGCTTGCCAGCTTGGCGAAGTGCGGTCAAATAACCATCGCGACTCAAAGGTGTAAGAGGCCGTCATCGGGAAATGTAGTGTTCACTACATTTGCAGTACAATACGAAGAACCTAATATATAATGTGCGAAGGTGCTATCTTTGATAGCCAGGTCTCGGAATGTTATTTGACAGGATGTGACTAGTTCAATACACAATTTGATTCTGCTGCTTGACATTGCTAGATTTGCCACTTCACAATTACATCATTAGGTCACTTTAATATGGCCAAATAATCGCGATGTATATATACAATATTTTTTATCAATTAAATGTATACACTTTTCCAACACCCCATTCAAGAAGCAGTATTTCAATTACAGGCTGGATAGGGTAGGATTATCTGGTATTGATTTTTTTTGCTTAATCTTTAATTCTTCATGTTGTGGACCATGCTTGTGCTTTACAATTTCTACATTTCAATTTCCAATGCAGTGAACGTTTAAGGTGACTGTACATGGACAAGAGCTGCCAGGTTGTGATGGTTAGCATGAGACAATCCGGAGGGTGTCGGTCCGATTGTATCTCCCGGCACGGCAGCTGAAACGATGCAAGTTTCTCAAATATTCCTACCTCTGTCCGCAGAGCATTGTAGACCGCAGTCAGTCGTCAGTTCGCCCGTCTCTTCCAACACGTTTGTTCAACGTGGAAGAGTAGACCAAATACCCTTTAAGAGTTTGCTCGGCAATGGCGTGATCAACACAATTGACATTTGCATTCCTCTTGCAGTAATGCTGTACGCTTCAAAGGTGGCGCCATATCAGCTGTTGATGCATTGTTAAGGGATGCAGGGCAAGGCGGGGGTGGGGGGGACAGCGCGCCACGCAGAGCAATCAGTGGCATTGAGGGTGCTCGTGCAATTGCCGGCGTCACTTCTCTGTTGAGGTTGCGTCTCAGTATGGGGTTCCTCGGCTTTGAATTGCAATTTGCGACGTGTTTATATGGGGGTTTTTTTTGTTGCAAATCGTTTGCATTGGCAAGATCCCCCGAGTATGGGGTGAATGGATGTCTGTGTGTGGCATGTCCACGTGTGCATTTGTGTTCACATGGCTCTGCCGTGCTTTGAAAGCGGCCTCGTTACAATCAGTTCTGAAAATTGGCTGTCCTGCCACGCTGCGTGGAAACCTTTAGTCGGTAAACGTGGACACTTGAAGTGGTTGCGATGCACTTCTCCCAGCTAACTCAGGCTCTCAGTTGCAGCACTCAATGGAGAGTGCTTTATCGATTGGTGTTGTGCATCTATAACCACAGATGACCGTACGACTTTTATATGTGCAGGAGAGCCCCGGTGAATGGTATTACGATGGTTTGTGTACATCTCTCGTGTGGTGAATAAGACTAAAATGAAGTTTAAGGTAATAAACACTGTCAGTCTCAAGGAAAACAAGTTGTAAATCCCTTTTCTTGTACGTGGAGACAATTCCACCCAAAAAATGATCAGCTGATCAATCCACTGCTGGACGAAGCCCTCCCCGTGAACTGCCACCTCTCGACTCTTGCGATGCAACGACCAATCCAACACATGTACAATACTGACGGTGTTGGATGGATTGTTGCATCGCGAGGTCGATCACGTATTCACATCCATTACAAGATGTTTACACGTGAAGTCCGTTCATTATTCGTGGTATGCCACTACTCCATTTGCCAAAGTCTTTTAATTTTATTTTCCTGTATCGTCTACGTGTATATTGAACTTGCCAAGGAAGGTGTTCATAGCCAATGTGATTCCGAATAGATATTTGGGTTTGGCTGCAACTTGATCTAACCAAATCTGTGTCGTTATGAACCCCCCAGCACTGGGCACAGCCATACAAATTGTTAAGTGTACAAGTGTTTAATCTTTCAGGGGGTCCGAGTCAACTGAATTGTTATAGATCTTGTGCTGAAGATGTTTTATGCAGTTTCAAATTAAATGTCATATCTAATTTTGATTTGAAGCTTTCGTGAATGCAGGGATCCATACTCTTTGGTTCTTTTGGTAAAGTCACGTAGGTATGAAATAAATAAATCGCGACGTTTCAGGCGCATCCGGTGGGAAAGCATGGTCTGCTGCTGAGGCAGACTGTTTTAAAATATTTTAAATGGGTCATAAAGAAGTGGCCAGGGCTAGTGATGTTAATGTGAGAAATTAGCATGTAACTGTAAGATAGGAGAGCGGCCTCCTCGAGGGCTAAGTTTGGTTGCTAGGGTATTTCTTCAACTTATAGAGGTGAATCAATTGGCACGTTAAACGCTTGCACTCATGACAGTCTATGTGGCTGTATTGGGTCGTGGGGGGGGGGGGTCCCAATGACACAAGATTGAGTCCGATCGTCACATGGCCCAGCCCAAATCAGTTATGAATAATGTGCGTTTTGTTACCTTGTGCAGTATCTTGAGATGTACATGCATGTATATGCTTTGTAAACCAGATTATATATTATCATCCATAAAAATAATATGGTCTGCATTTCGTTAGAGGTGATATGACCAATGACATTAATATATCTAATGTAATACCAGTACTGGTGGTGTGTCAAAATCATGTAGTTGACTTGTAACTTGAATGAGTAAATCTTAAAGTAGCATTGGTGTTCCTGCATAGCATAGCAGCATTATTCCACGTTGTTTGTTTGTCCAGCAGGCCTGTGTGCTTGGTGGACACGTTATTGGTTGATGGGTGCACTGTGAACACTAATCACATCCTCTTACATAGTACTTGGGTATAAGGAATATACATTTAAATAGGCTATTCTGCAGTATGCAGAAACACATTTATAAAGTCAATACAGTATATATATGCGTTGTGAAAATCTATGCAGAATTAGATTAATAAAGTGCCAAAATATATAGGTATTGTGGTAAAGAAGTACATTTCCATGGGAGTCTGGACACTTATTTTTGCCTTTTAAGATGTTAACACCATGCATTTATCCATAGGCACAGAAATGAGGATGCATGCACCACTCTGTGAAATGGTGTTCAACATGTAGCTATTTGAACGTTGAATATTCAGGATATTTCACACAAAATAACTGAATGGCATGGGTCTTGCACTGACGTAGCTTGACCCGATTCTCAATAGCCTTATCACACCTGTGCCTGGTATGCCGGACAAAAGATGTTTATTCAAATTTCATTTAGGTTTACACCAAGGAAAAAGCAACCGCGGTACAATGTACAAAAATTTATATTGAACATCTATCAAATGCACTAGTATCTGTAGGCGAACAACTATGATTGCGTGTGCGCAATACATCCCAGCACAGCTTGCAAATATACAAAAAAATCCAAACATCCAACAACCATTATCATACACACCGCCGACTTATATGTGATTCAAAACAGTCATGTAACCTTCGTTTAAATACTTAATAGAATGCAAAGAAATTTAGCAAAGCGCAAAGCAATCGGGCTCTGCGGTAGTATAGCAATGGAAATATTCTTTTTTTCACTTGTAAAACAAATTAAACGCACACACAGTCCATATATAAACAATAAGCGTCTGGCGGGGCACATGCTTTGGGTCACTCGCAGTCTAAAGAGTTGGACAGTTACCAGCTTTTTACTTAAACACATTGCACAAGAGTAACGTTGATACAAATAAAACCTTGCATGACCGCAGCTCGTTTTCTATCGAAAGACAGTATTGTAGTTTGAATTATTTTTATGACTAACTCAATGACTCTCTAGCACTTGCATTGGCTGCCATTTTGCAGAATAGAAGCAAATTGGTAATGAAGTGAAATGCAATCTGAATGCCACGCTGTGCGCACTAACGTTACAATGTTGAGACTTTGTATTTTTGTTCCAATATCGCCGCAGTAGGCAGGCCAAAGTTGCGGTTTTGGTTGTATGGACCAGATACTCATTCTTCTGCATGTTTAAAAATCTTCCCAGTATTTGCATGTACAGGTTATGAGAACCGGCATGGTAATGAAGTCCAACTTTTGACGTGTACATATTTACGCACTCACTGTTAAATACGGCTTTCTTGCAAAATCTTGTGCTTTCAATGAAGGCTTAGTTCCGTGAACAGTTGGTGTCCCTAAGTTAAATATTGGTCCTCTGGGTAAAAGGTTACTGATGGCCACGTTGTAACGCGAGTCAAAACTCTGTGTTGATACTTCGATTTGGTCATGCCTGGGAGCCCTTGGGGGGGGGGGGTCTGGGCATGAACTCCATAACACTCCTCCATTCTACCTGGCAATGTTACTTGAGACATTGCCAGCTGTAATGCAAGAGATATTACGTCCACTTGCTTTCAATTGTCGGGTTTTGTTCCGTAGCACTGGTGTGGATATATTTCAAATGCCCTTTTTTGGGCGTGAGGTGGCAGTTTTAATGTGGCCTCAGGGCTGATGTGACCCATCGTTTGTTTTACAAGCCAAGTCTTTCACATCCCCAAATCGAGAAATAAATAAAATAAAACCCTTCAATATTAATATATATTTTTCAAATATACATAAGGCTGTCATGTACAAATAGTCACACATTTAAGGGCATTAAAAGCAATACAGTGCCACATTCACCATGAAAATGAAGCACAACGGGGGGAGTCTTGTATGCAAAATCGACCATGCTGTTTCACTGCTGTCCAACACTCTGGTTCGACCTGGGAGGCTTTGTTGAACCTTTGGGATGTACGGTACGGTACTCTATATCCCTGTTTTGGAATCATTAAACTTCACAGCCATTTCATCGCAGCCTGCGCATTGTACAAAAACTTCGTTCCACTTTTTTTTTTTTACAATGGGTATATTTAAAGTGTTTTTATATCATACAAAAGCCAACGATTTTCTTTCAGTAAACTTATAGATACCAAGGGCTAATATTGTCGCCCACGCTTTTTTTCCTTCCCCTCTTCAAATCTGTACACGCTATAATTGTAAACTTATAACATTGTAAAGCAGCAACGACTTCTCAAGGGGGACATTCTTGTTGTTGTTGCGAAGCAGGTACTCTGTGAACACAGCACGCATTCAGGTTGCGATGGCATCACGCACCGTAGCGCGTAGAACAACTCTCAATACGGAACTCGGGGGGCTTTCTGAGTGGCTTGTGCCCAGCTCCGTTCATCATTACAAGCGTTGCCATGCCTGGTTATTCCCGTCTTGTTCCCTCAACTCCTCGCCATCGCTTTGCTTTCTCCTGCTGTATACGGATTAGCACCTTGGCCCTTTTTCTTGGTGGCACTGCCTTGCTGATGTATGTCCCCATGACGTTAAAACTACTGTAATATTGCACATGCACTAGTTTGGTTGCCTTCAGCTTAAATAGAGCCGCACAGAATCCGCGTGTAGACCTGCAATGGTATAGTTTTGATTGTGCACTGCGGTAATATTTTTCATTTTATGCAACCCCCTTTTAACCTCTCCGATATGTAACACATCTTTGAGCGAACAGCGGCATGACAGTGCGATGTTAGAACATATTCACAGTCGCGTGAAAGTTTGGGGAGCCCCTTGGTTTTTGTTGTTGTTGTAAAGCCTTGGTCCTTTTTGCTGACAAAGGGGAGAAACGCAATTCGGATAAAATCTTGGCGCGTTACAAGCCTGGGCCGCTACTGCCCCCGCGGTTCGCACGGGGGCAATTTGTAAGACGAGTTTAAATTTGGTGATTTTTTTTAATGGAATGATTGTCCAACCTATTGCACAGAGGACTGTGTGTTTGATACGCAGTCAATCCTGACACCCATTTCCCCCCTCTTGCAGGAAAACGCTCTAACCATTCAATAGTTATGCTGACAAAGCCTCCTCGGGGCTTGGTGCAAGCGATGAGTCTGTAATCCCCTCTGCTTCCAGTCCGTAGCACTGTCCACATAATGAAGTGTTGCCTTACTATTCGATGAAGCGTTCACAAAATGTCATTGAAAATTTGCAAATTTTAAGAAAATATTGTGATTCAAAGTGTATTTCTCAGGCAAGTAGGTTTTTTTCTTCAGAGTGGCTGATTTTTTTTTTTAATCAGCGCGTCCCCCTTCCCCCGTCTTGGCGAGTGTCCCAATTTAGCGTGGTTGTGATTGTCTAAGAAGATCTACAGTTGTAACGAGTCGCTGCGGGGGGAGGGGGGGTGGTGGAAAATGCTGCACGTACCCCGCGATTTGTGCTCGAGGCAGGCGTGACCGTGGTGCCGTGTCAAATAGCAGGCCGAGGGCTTCGTGCGGAGATTCCAGGTTTGTTGGCAGTATTTCCGACGCTTTCCAAGCAGTTCTCAATTTTTGTAGAGCACTTTTAATTACGCACGCTTTCAAATGCCATCTTGGTTTTTTTTTTCCACAGCTTGTTGGCTTGGATGGATGGCTGGCTTTCTTTGAATGGAAGGTATAAATAGAGGACCCATTTACCAAACTGGTAATCCATAAAGAATGTTTTCTTTTTTTTGCATTGATTACATTAATCACTTTGAACATTATGACAAAATAAAAATGTTCAAGTCATTGGGCCATTTTGTTTTAAGATGTTTTCTTCTATGCAGCTGTAAACCATACACTCAGAATTCAGTTCTAACAAATCCATTTTGAATCAGGCTGATGAGTTGCATGGGAATTTTGACAGGCAAATGGCACAGGCGTTGTGAAGTTGATTTATGGATTGATGGATGAATGTCAAATGGATTTGTAGTCGGATGAATTGATCACGGAATTATAAGATTGATTAGGAGGATGCATCATTAGTTGTAACATCTGATAGATGGATTGTCACGTGAATCAATTGTTGATGAACATTGGTTTCATGTTGGCGAGGTGAACATTCAACAGGCGCATGGGCACATCGGATGAGCAGATGGACATTTGTACTGAGCATAATCAAGGGACAAATCCACGTGATGATGATGTTCATGATGATGATAATGATCATCATTAACATGATGACGTGTCGCCAGTGTGACTAATTGCCATGCAGTAGCTCATTGCCGTAGCGTTGTTGGCACAGGCCCCCGTGCGAAGAATGAAATGGCCGCCTCCTGTCCAAATTCCCTCCTCTACGTAACTTGGCGCTTTGGGGGGGGGGAGCCCGGTCTGGCCCAGTTGATCGACGTCGCAGTTGCACCGCCTGCGCACTCCGGAGCTACGCCCGCCAGGATGGGCGGACATCGGAATGACTCGCCCCACGGCGATGGATAGGGGGGGAGGGGCGATGGCGCCCGCTCAGTTGTGCTGCAGGATGAGATGCTCGAGCTCGTCGGCCGACCGGAGCAGGAAGGCGGCGGACTCGCGGTACCCCGAGATGAGCTGGCGCACGGCGCCGATCTCCGTGGGGCTGAGCTGCGCGGGGCACCCGCCGGCCCCCCCGCCGGCCCCCCCGCCGGCCCCCCCGCCGCTCGCCTTGCAGCACGTGGGCCCCGCCCCTCCGGCCTGCACCTGGCCCGGGGGGCTGGGGCTGCTGCTGCCCGAGCTGCTGTTGCTGCCGCTGCTGTTGCTGCAGGTGCTGGGGGGTTTCTTCATGCTGAGGTCGGTGGGGCCTGTTTCGACGGGAGGAGGAGGAGCAGCAGCAGCAGGAGGAGGGGGATGGTGTGGTAGGAGAAGGGGTTGCGCAGATAAACGGGCACGCGGGTTAGGGCAGGGTTCCACTGGTGGCCCATGTGGCCCCACAAATGCTCTTGAGAGGGGCCCATCGAGACGCGAGAGATGCAGGTCGGTGAGATTAAATCGAAATAAAGAGCTGGAAATGAGGGCTGTAGACCAGGGTCTGCACTCTATTGATGAGCCCTGATGACATCACGACCCCTCATGACATCATAACGTCGACGCGTGATGCCCGTCGACACGCTCATTACGCCATTCGCCAGAAAATATAGTTAAAGAGAACGGCTTGTTTGGAGAACTTGTATACGTGGTGAAAGCAACTATCATGATTTTGAGGTCGTGATATTGTTGAAGGATGGATATTTTTTTGGTCTCGTTTAATCACTCGTTTACGCGGCCTCTAGTGGCGTAGCAAGCGTCAAGTGAACTCGTACGTCGGTTTGTGAATCAAAAACAAATTATTCCTATCCGCACATTTCGGCGCTCGTAACGTAAAGGTACGAATCAATTTTATTCGATGATTGAGCCATCAATCCGCCCCTCGTGTCTGGGAAGCATCCTACTCTGGGTCTGTGCATGGGGTTTCTGAATGAATGACTCTGTTGGTAGTTATTGTGCACACACCGCCAGTGCAGTCTCACCAAATAAGAAAAAATGTAATGAATGGCGCTGTCCAGCTGGGAGGTAGGGGGAAGCACGCAAGGTGAGGAACTTCTGTATATTCTTAGGTTTTTTCGGTAAAGTCACGTAGGTAAAAAATTAAAATTAATAAAAGTAAAATAAAATAAAAATAAAAATCACGACGTTTCGATTGCAACACAAGCAATCATCATCAGGTATAAATGAAATAGCAACAAAAAATTCTAACCAGAAAAACTATAGACAGACATATAAGCAGACAGATATCACCAATATACATAGAGAGAGAGTAACACAGGTACAGAGAGGGAGATCGTCTCTGTTGAGTGGCCTTGAATTATTAATTTTTTACCTACGTGACTTTACCTAAAAAACCTAAGAATATGAATCCTTGCAGTCACGAAAGCTTCAAATCTAGAATTGAACCACTTCTACGGAGAAGTTCCAAGTTTATCTTTTTCTCTCTTTGGGTTTTTGTTTTCTCTATCTGCCTGTGTATTTAGTGTACTTTTTTCTGTCTACACTCGTTTTTTGTCGTTCTTATGTTCTGCTCTGTCTGTGTGTCTCCGTTCCTTTTGTTTTATGTTTTGTCTTTCTTTGGAATTTTCACACTTAAATTCTAACTTAGCAATCTTTGAAATACGTAATCGACCAGGCTATGCGTTAATTGTGTGTTGACCGACTCTCTGTGTTGTATTACATAACATTTCGATATTTTGCTAGGTTATTTAATTTAGTGTGTTCTTTCTCCCTCTCTCCTAATGTTCAAACTTGCTTACTTTACTACGCGTTTTCCGCACTAATTTTTTATGCGTTTTCTGCACTCATTGACATGTTCATTTTTTATGCGTTTTCTGCACTCATTGACATGTTCATTTTTTATCTAACCCCCTCCATCTCTCTGCCCCCGCCCCCTCTGCCTATTTAAGGCCACTCAACAGAGACGATCTCCCTCTCTGTACCTGTGTTACTTTCTCTCTATGTATCTTGGCGATATCTGTCTGCTTATATGTCTGTCTATAGTTTTTCTGGTTAGAATTTTTTGTTGCTATTTCATTTATACCTGATGATGATTGCTTGTGTTGCAATCGAAACGTCGTGATTTTTATTTGATTTTACTTTTATTAATTTTAATTTAAAGTTTTTTACCTACGTGACTTTACCGAAAAAACCTAAGAATATGAATCCTTGCAGTCACAAAAGCTTCAAATCTAGAATTTAACTTCTGTATCTCGCATCGCAAAGCCACGGGGCTTGAAGGTGGTTTAGCACTGTCCACTGTGCCCTATCGATCATGCGGCACATGAGCCGTGCGTTGACGGAATATCGCGGCCAGTGAAGCGTCGGCATAACTACTACATTGTCAGGATAATTGAGGGCGTTAATTGTCGACACGTGTCCGAACGCGCTGGGTGCGTGAGTGGGGGATGTGGACGATGGTGATGAACGGTGGCTCGCTGCCGCGTGAGCGCACAGACGCGACACACTGATGGCTTCATCCAGCAGTGGATTGACAAAAAGGTCTGCACCTGTAATATGGATAGTGGGGTGAGTGCAGTAAGGGTTTTGGTGAAGGTCGGCAACAATGGGGGGCGTAGTGGTTGAGGGTTCGGGTGGCTGGTCTGTGACGATGGGGGTGGAATGTGCTTGTGAGACGCAGCACCACGTGTGGAGTATCGGTGGAGTGCGCGATGATTGACACCGGCCCGCACGGCGGCGCTTCTCAGCGCCACGCTGTGGAGGCGGCGGCGGCGGTGGCGGCAGAGGCGGAGGCCTCACCGTTGCTGATGTTGGCGAGGTGCAGGGCGGGCGGCGGGGGCGGTGCTGGGGGGTTGTGATGAGCGGACAGCGCCGGGTGCTGAATTCCCCCGCCCAGCCCGCCGAAGCCGTGGTGAGCGTAGCGCATGCTTCCGTTGACGTACGGCGGCGCGTCCCCCGCAAAAGCCAGCGGCATCGGGGCGGGCGGCGGGGGCGGCGGGAACGAAGGGGGCGGCTGCTGCAGGTGCTGGTGCTGGTGCGAGGTTCGCACGAGGTCGTGGGGCAAATGCGCCGGCCTTTCCAGAGGCATGGGCTCGTCCTGTGGACGACAGCGGAATGGTTTAGCGAAGGAGTAAGTTAATAATAAACGTGTGCGAGAACGACCTTCGGCGTTTAACCACTGAGAGCATCTAGCAATCGGTGTCGCACGTGCTCCCAAACACCGGGATTAAGCGTCGTGATCGACCAACGCGGGATAGGGGACCAGGAGCTATGCTCACGCGTTCCTCCAGGGAACGCATTGGGCAAGATTTTTCTGTGGCGTGTCGAACACGCCAATTAATCAAAGACACTTTAATTAGTTGTGAACATAAACCACGTACATGCGATTGCAGTTCACGCGCACTTCTTGATAAAGTGCTAGACTTTGTGAAGTATTATTCCATGTTGATGCATTTGCGTTTGTTATTTTGTTAATGATCAATTTCTACGAAGTGTGCAAGAGCAAGGAGGTAACTAGACATTCCAGTGATTGGTATTCATTGGACCACGAAGTTACCGTGAACACAGACATCTTCGGTCAGTAAAGGCATTCGATATTTAAGCAATTATAATGCATTTTACCTTATCCCTCTCCCTTTGTAACACATATCCCTTTGATATAATAGAGACGTTTTATTCTGAATGGGACCTCATCTGGCTTAACAACAAATGGTCTGTCTCATTTGTCATTAACTTTTGATACCAATAATTTTTTCCCCAAGAACATCAACTAATTCTCATTCACACACAAAAAAAAGCAACAACTACATTATATACGGCGGCCTCTTCCAAAGGCCAGTGTGGAAGAGTAGACCAACATATCCTCCGGAGGGGCTCTCCAGAGCGCCCTCTTTTGGAGGAATTTTGAGCCAGGAGTATCTTGAGTGAGTAATGGCGGGGCTGCGCGTTCATTCCTCCTCCATAAAGGAATGGGATCAGCAGACGGCCACTAACGTGCATCTTAAGTGTGCTGCTACAATAGAAGCACGTGATTTCATTGAGCATTACATCGTCAAGTAAACCTCCTGCCCTCAATAGCGGAGCACTCCCCCACCGCCATTGCCAATGTCAATTCAGGCCGTGGGATTGGAAATCACTCGCAAATTTGCCGGGGCCAGAGGAGCCACCTCCGGGGTGCCGCTCGTGCGGGTCCCACGCTCCGGGCGGGTCGAATGGAGTGTGTCAGTGGCCGTGCCTTCTGCTCCATCTGCATGAACGACGGAACGGCAATGACCGCCGTAGCCCCCCCCCATCCCCTCCACCAGTCACTCCGGCGATTCGAGCGGCAGTTTTTGTTTTGCGCGACGCATAAACAACAACGAAACATCCTTGCATGGCCGTGTGGGGCCAGGGGAGCGGAGGGAAGGAGGGCGCGATTCCACGGAGGCTGCGCTGAAGCACCGGGTGGGACCCGAGACGTCATGCAGAGAGAAGACGCAGGGCGCGCGTGGGAGTTGTGGGGACGGTGGCGCCGGTGGTTTTGGCCGGGTGTGGATCGCGTGTGCGTGGGTGTGAGCTTGCCGAGGAGGGGCGGGTGCAGGGGGGCAGGGGAATGGATGGTAGAGGGCGCTGCGCTGGGAAGGAGAGGGTGGGGGGGGGCTTTTCTTGAGCCTGTGCACCGTGGGTCGCTCGCTCGCTCCCGTAGCTGCCGGGCTCGCTGGTGAAGGCTTCGCTGTCATTAAATCGATTTCGCGGCCCCCGGCGCTTTGCTTCCGAGAACACGCGGCGAGCAAACCAAATGCATGAGCGTGTTGTATTATTATTCTTTTGGACGTGGTGGGTGTCGGGGGAGCGGGTGGCTTTTTGTACGTCTTTTTCCTTCGCAGGAATGTCTTCACTTTGCCACCCGCTTTGCATTTTTGCTTCACGACTCTCGCCCGCGCTCGCTCTCTCGCTCACTCGCCCGCACTCACTCACTCGCCCGTGCTTGCTCTCTCGCTCACTCGCTTACTCGCGCTCACTCGCCCGCACTCGCTCACTCGCCTGCACTCGCTCTCTCGCTCACTCGCCCGCACTCGCTCACTTGCCCGCACTCGCTCACGCGCTCACTCGCCCGCGCTCGCTCTCTCGCTTACTCGCGCTCACTCGCCCGCACTCGCTCTCTCGCGCGCTCTCGCGGTCCCTCGCCCGCACTCGCTCTCTCGCGCGCTCTCGCGGTCCCTCGCCCGCACTCGCGCTCCCTCGCCCGCACTCGCTCTTTCGCTCACTCGCGCTCACTCGCCCGCACTCGCGCTCCCTCGCCCGCACTCGCGCTCACTCACGCTCACTCGCTCTCTCGCGCTCCCTCGCCCGCACTCGCTCACTCGCTCACTCGCCCGCACTCGCTCCCTCGCCCGCACTCGCTCACTCGCTCACTCACCCGCGTTCGCTCACTCGCTCTCTCGCTCACCCGTGCTAACCCGCCCACACTCGCTCACTCGCTTACTCACGCTCCCTCACCCGCACTCGTCCGCACTCGCTCTCTCGCTCACTCGCCCGCACTCGCTCCCTCGCCCGCACTCTCTCACTTGCTCACTCGCCCGCGCTCGCTCTCTCGCTCACTCGCTTACTCGCGCTCACTCGCCCGCACTCGCTCTCTCGCGCTCTCTCGCGCTCCCTCGCCCGCACTCGCTCACTTGCCCGCACTCGCTCACTCGCGCTCACTCGCTCTCACTCGCCCGCACTCGCTCTCACTCGCTCACTCGTGCTCACTCACCCGCACTCACTCACCCGCACTCACTCGCTCACTCGCCCGCACTCGCTCACTCGCCCGCACTCGCTCACTCGCGCTCGCTCACTCGCGCTCACTCGCGCTCACTCGCCTGCACTCGCCCGCACTCGCTCACTCGCCCGCACTCGCTCAGTCGCCCGCACTCGCTCACTCGCCCGCACTCGCTCACTCGCCCGCACTCGCTCACTCACTCACTCGCGCTCGCCCGCACTCGCTCACTCGCCCGCACTCGCTCACTCGCCCGCGCTCGCTCACTCGCCCTCTCGCGCTCCCTCGCCCGCACTCGCTCAATCGCGATCACTCGCTCTCCCTCGCCCGCACTCACTCACTCGCGCTCACTCGCCCGCACTCGCTCATTCGCGCTCCCTCGCCCGCACTCGCTCACTCGCGCTCCCTCGCCCGCACTCGCTCACTCGCGCTCACTCGCCCGCACTCGCCCACACTCGCTCACTCACCTAAACTCGCCCACACTCGCTCACTCGCCCGCACTCGCTCACTTGCGCTCACTCGCCCTCTCGCCCTCGCTCGCCCGCGCTGCCGTGGCCGGGGTTTTAAGCCGAGTGAACGGCCCGTGGGGCACTCGGCTCATGAGCCGGGGATTTACGGATTCATGGAAACGTTTTCCACCAAAAAAAAACCCACGTGGAGGCAGCGGCCGAAGAGAGCGGGCAGAAAAAAAAAAACGAGTTAAACTATATACACACACAAGAAAGAAATCAAACGGGAAGAATAAGTGTGTTTGGGACCGCAAGCGCTGAGCAAAAAAATAAATAATAAATGCTGTTGGGGCGGTAGCGGCGTGGGGTGGGTGGATTTGGGGGGAGCCGAAGCATCGAGGGATGGAGCAGGGCTGGGCAGGCGGGAGGTAAAAACAGACGGGCAGGCAGCGTCCGCATTCAGCATGAATTATACACGAGCTCATTAGAGCTCCCCACCGAGGCTCAGCGATTCCGCGGGCTTGACGGCCGTTAATCAGCCAGTCTGGGGTGTCTGCGCGTCCGTGCTTCTGTGTTTGGGGCTACGCAGCGAGGGAGGGGGGGGTGGTGGAGGGGGGGGGGGCGACTGCCTTGGGGCGAGGGCCATCCTACGCACGCTGCTGGGCTGCTGTCACCACGGAAACGGTTTCTGCGGAGACGCGAGCTCCCCCTCGTCCCCTTCCCCGCTCGGGTCCAGGGCTCTCTGCTCGCACGCCCGACCCCCCGAGCCCCGGGCGCTCCTTTCCCGCGGCCGTGAGCAGCACCTGGCTGTCCCCAGCTGTCCCGACCGCCCGGCCGCCCACGCTACATTCCCGCACACACTTCACCCCCACACCCCCCCCCCCCCAGTCGCTACTCCCGCATGCCAAGCCGCCGTCAATTAAAACGCGATCGTGACTCTTCACCCCGCATGGTTTAGCCCTCGATCCACCCCTCCACCATGTCCGGTGATAAAAAAAAAACTTTACGGTGCCGCGATGGTGGTGGTGGTTGGTGGGGGGGGAATAAAAAAAAAAGAACCCAAGCATCGCCGTCTTTCCCATTTATACTCAGCCCGGCGTCAACCGTGGCACGTGTTTACGATTTCCACTCGAGCGCCGGCAACAACGACGGCGTCGGCGTGCGCACTGCGAGAACAAATGTGTTTTATGAGAGACGCGCGGACGGGCGGCCCCAACCCTCGCCTCTCCCTCCAGTCCCCCACCCCGCTGCCACCCGCTGATGCAGGGCATCCGAGATCGAAACTAAAATACGCGGACCCCTCTACGGAGAAATGAAGGATTTCACGAGCCGGCATAGCAGCCGTGCCGCTATTTCACTTTGCTGGGTTGAAATAACAACTCGCTCCGCGTTTCTTTTTTTTGTTATTCGATTGCGTTGTCGTTCCGCGAAGGCGGCTCGTCGCCTCGCGCTCTGTTGCACGCCACAGGTCTCGCTTGCGAAAGCATCGCACGAAGAAACGAGACGCGTCCTTCTCGCCCGGATCCGAGTCGATTTCGTTGCTCTGATTGATTAAACCCCTCAAGAGGTCTCGTGCACGATGGCAAACGTTTGCTGCACGGCGCTGGAACACGCCAAAAGAAAAGAATGCGCCCCAGCGCTGCAAGGATGCAGAGCGAGGGAGGAGGGCATTAGAATTTAATTCCTCCCCATAATTGAGAGGATTCTCGGTTAATGGGTTAAAGGTGCTTTTCTTTCAGGTGCCATGCACAGCCCATTAGCGCATTGGGCGCTTTGTGCCATGCAAATTATGTAGCTTCGGCTTAACTAGCACCACTCAGTTTGCCGCACAACTTGCCCCGTGACCCCCGTGTGATTGTTCCCATGTGCTCGCCCTTAATTTCCCCCCCTCGGTTTCCTCCATCAAACATC